CCCCCCAATTTTGTCTAGTGTTTCCCCATGATTAGATTCAGGTTCTACATTTTTGGCAGGAATATCACAGAAGTGCTGTTGTATCTTTCACAGTTCATCAGACCATGGTTCTACTCTTGGACTGAGCATGGTTTCTTTACTTGTTAATCTACACTCATATTTGGATCTAGTCCCACTACCCACTCTTCTGGCATCCCCATTTTCATCCCACCTGGGTCTGTCCCCCAGCTGCTCAGGTTCTACTTCCCACCACACCCCTGGTTCATAGTCTGTGTCCCCACTGGGTCTCTCATTAAATTCTTGTTCCTGTGTTAGAGACCTTTCTGATACTCAGATCATACCTAGGCTTGTCAGGAAAGCATCATTCTTTCCTGCCCTGCCCTCTTCCCTGGATTCACTTTGACTTATTTATCACTCAGGTGCTTATCCTGCTCCTCAGCCTGTGGACAGACTCCCAAAATGGTGCCATTTTTCCTATTATGATTTTACAATATAAAAATTTAATGATAATAAGGAGGAGGAGGTAGAGGAATACTTAAAATCAATCAGGCATTTGCTATGTAGTGTGGGCTGTGCCCAGGTTTTATCTCAGTGCATCCTGACCACAGCCCTGGGTGCTAGGTACTGTTGTTATTTTACAGATAAAGAAAAGGAGACACATGGAGGTCAAGTGCATGTCCAAGGCCACACAGTGGCCAAGCAGTGGAACCAAAATCACAGAAAGGAAGGAATAACTTTGGTTGCTGAGAGGTGGTTTAAAAAAAAAAAGTAGGAAAAAAAGTCCTGCTGAGTCTGAGCGCCAGGGTGTGGCATTTAGTGATTTGTCAAGTCTCTGAAGATAACAGGGCTGGATAGGGTGAAGTCTTGGTGGGAGATGTAAATTTGGGAGTCTTTAGCAGAGAGGCAGTAGATAAAGTCTTTGGGATCCATGAACTTGCTGAGAAAGGAGTGCAGAAATGATGAGTCAGGGGCTGGCTATCTGGGAGTGACCACAGGTAGGGAACCTAATGAGGGAGAAGTCCGTGCCATTGGAGGCTCTTTTCTCTCCCTAAAGGGACAGGTCCTGGGTTCAGGAGGCAGAAGATGGCAGTCAAGGGTTCACCAAACACACATTGCTCTCTTTTCTGCACTGGGTCAAGCAGACACTGTATTAGGTGCTGGGAACATAGGGAGAATAAAGTCACCTTGCTCGGCAATCAGAGTTTGTGGTCTCGTAAATCCTATATTATTCTTATTTAGGAGAGTAGAAGAGTTGTTGTTTTTAATGCCATTGGTGTGTGAGACACATTTGTCAGAACTATCTCCAAAACGCTGAGTATCAGTGCTAGAAAGATCCTTAGAACTCATATATACCAGCATCCATTTGTCCTATGAAAAACGGAAGCCCAGAGAAACCCAGGAACTGACCATCACTTAGACAAGTAAGTTGGTGGCTAAGTCTTCTGGGTGCAGATCCCGCCACCCACAACATGACCCCTGTTATTGTCCAGCTTAGTTGAGGGAATTCTGTTGGGAGCCAGGCTGTCTCTGGAGGGATAGAGAGCTCAACTTTTGGAAAGTCAGCATCACGTTGAGTAGAGGGATTATTTAGTCAGCTGGCCCTCTTGGGAGGGCAGAATCCCCTACCTTCCAGTGGGATTCTGCTGGAGTGCACCACCATCCACCATATTCCTGGCACATTCTAGGCTTTACTGAACCTATTGGCTAGTTCAAGTACTTCCTGAGGGTTTCCCATGCACTTTGCCTCTAGACTTGACCATTTCTGCTACAGGCATGGCTGCCCCCACAGTCAGCCAGAGTGCCCCCTTCTTCCTGTTAGTCAGCCAGTGCACACAGGGTATCAAGTCTACCTTGGGGTCATCTCTTGAACCTGTTCTCTCATCATTCCCAATGTCATCACCTGTGTTTATCTCTCCCGGAAATTGCAGCAAGCCCCCAACTCTTTTCTCTGCTTTCATTCATCCCCTCTCATCAAATTCTTGCACATTGCTGTCAGGACAATCTTCTAACCATAAAATCTCATGATTGTAAGGGATTGTATATGTCCATTTCCCCAGCATCCATGTGACATGCTATTATATCATCTTCCTGTCAAGTGGCCATCCAGCCCATTTCAGTTATGTTTTTATGCATTGCATTTCAATTTTAAACAGATCTATTTAAAAGTGCTTTACTTCTATTGAAGTAAAATATTTTTATTCTTTTATATACTTGTTTTATGGGTGTAATTTCCTCGAGTCTCTCTGAAGGTGTTAATAAGAAAGGTTTCTAAGTTCTCTTTGTTTACTAGATTAACTCTTCTCTCAGAGGTGGGTTGCTTTGCTTTCTCTCCTTCATGCTTCTTCATGAGCCTGGCTTTCCCCTAATGTCCTGTGAATCTTGATCATTCTTTCATGTTTATAAAGGTGATACTAGATTGCTCAGTATTAGAGGCTGGTGTGGGTCTCCGCAGTATTCTGTGTTCTCTGTTCCACAAGCATACCTCTCCCCTGAACACCATGGCTGTTTTGCTTTGCATGGGGAATAGGTGAGCTTCCCTACAGAGTGTGTGCAGGGGATGAGGAGTGGAAGATGTTACCAGTCACTTCTACTCAAAAATAGTATGCTTAACAAAAGAATATTTTAATTATTCATTTAAATATTATAGTAGGTTTTCAATTATCACTAAGATCATTCAGCTTCTAAAAATTGTACTTTTTCTTATAGGGAGTCAGTTTTTCTTTTTGTACTAATTCTCAGAGCCATATGGATCCATGTTCTAATTTGAATGCTTATTCTCTAGGCCCATTGCACAGCTTCCCTCCAGAGATTTATTTTCATGACTTCCTTTCATGTTTCTTGATTCCATGTCTTCTTTGGATTTCTTGGAGAACTTCCTTAAGTACTTCTCTCAGAATCCGTGGATTGAAAAACCTTCAAGTCTTTGTATATATGAAAATGTCTGTATTTTGTAATCACACTTGAATGATAGTTTAGTTGGGTATAAAATACCGGCTTCAAAGTACACTTCCCTCAGAATTCTGAATACATTTTCAATTTCCTTCCTGCAGTCTAGTGTTATGAATTAGAAGCTTGGAGATGATTTGATTATCTCTTTATTATTACTTTATAGGTTAACCTGTTCTTTCTCTGAGAGCTTTTAGGATCTTATCTTGCTCCTTAGAATTCTGAAATATCATGAGAATGAGGCTAGGTGTGAGTCTTTTATCATTTACCTCAATTATATACCCTTTCAATGTGAAGATTCCCGCTGCTGGGCGTAGGAGATTTTCTTCTTTGTTGGTTCTTTATTCTCTCCATTTTAAGCATTCTTATCTTTTTGGAAATCATGTTAGTTAGATATTAGACCTCTTGCACTGATCATCTGTATCTTTTAACTTTTCTCTCTTGTCCTCTTACTTTTGCTCTGGAGGCTTTTCCTTGACTTTTTTCTTCCAGCTGTTCTATTGAATTTTTATATTTTGACAATTTAATTTCAGTTTCCACAAACTTTTTCTTTTTTACTTGATTCTCTTATTAGCCTGTTCTTATTTTAAAGATGTATTTATTTATTTATTTGTGAGAGACAGAGAGAGTGTGAGAGAGAGAACACGAGCGGGGTGAGGGGCAGAGGGAGAAGCAGACCCTCTGCTGAGCAGGGAGCCCAATGTGGGGTTCGATCCCGGGACTCCAGGATCATGACCTGAGCCAAAGGCAGATGCTTAACCAGCTGAGCCACCCAGGCGCCCCATAGCCTGTTCTTATTTTAGAGATGCAATATCTTTGGGTCTCTCCAAGATACTAACTGGAATTTAAAAATTATCTGAATGTTCTATGTTCTGTGTCCTCACTGCTCCCATAGTTGTTCTTTCTCCTTAATTCTGTTAGGAAGAGAGCCTCCCTTCTCCACCATCTTTCCTAGTGTTTGTCTTGGCTGAGCTGTTATTTGTTCCTGTGATCTCCTCTGCTATCCACCTTCCCAGAAATTTATTTAAACCTTTAAAACTTTGACAGTTGAAAAGCCATTCTACCATTTGATAGAAATTTTGAGGGAGGCCCTTAAACTGCCTCTCTCCCATCTAAAGAGTATTTTGAAACAGTCTTTGATGTTTATTTTGCAACAAAATGGCAGCCAATTAAAGTTGCTACCTAGAAATAGCTTCTGTGTTTTGAATGAATCTCCAACAGAACAGGCCCATGACTTTGCTATGTTGTTACCCTGAAGAGGCCTGGGCTTCACTGAAAAGCCAGAAAAATCCTGCTGTCCAGGAGGCCTCCTAAATTCTGCACTTCAAGATATGATTCCCAGGAATGGCAGGGAGGATAAAATCCCCCCCTGTCACCGCCAACAGCGACCCTGGCCATTTTGGGAGGCTCTGGGCTCAGCTATTGAGCTCTTCTGACATCTTTCTTTATTTCCCAGCCAGAGCTTAAATCTCAGCAAAAGAGCACAGTTTAGGAACAATTGTCATAATCTCTGTGTCTCATCTGTCCCTGTGATCAGAAGATTCTCAGACCTCATTCGAGGGTTTTGCTAAGAGGCCTCCTATTACAACCCATTGGGAAAGAGATAAAGGGAACCTTTTCTAGTGGGTTGTCTGGGGTCTTCTTGGCGAAATCCCCAGATGAGGAAACACAAATGCATTATAAGAACGATGGAGATGTTAACTTCTTGTCGTGTACTGTTAACGAGGGCTATCTCCAAGGGGTGCAATCATACATACTTTCTTTCTACTTTATACATTCCTGTATTCATAGAATTTTATGGCAGATTTGTGTCATTTTTGTCATCATGAAGGAAACAAGGACTAGCCTGGCCCCTGTCTACCCCACAGTCTGCCCCCCACTCCCCCACCGTGTCCAGCCTTATTTCCCACTCCTTTCCAAAAGGACTGGTAATCCGACTCCCACTGTCCCCCTGTGGGTCTCATGGTTGCTTTATATTATCTGCTCAGTGAATACTGAACAGATCAGTGATGGATGATGAAACTAGCGAATGAGGTTTCTGTCTCTGTCCTTAGACTACGTCTTTCCAGACTTGACTGAGAAGGCGGGTCCAATAGAAGACACCAGCCAGGGTCAAGAGGTGCCGAGTCTGCCCTCCCCCTTGCCCAAGATAAACCTGGTGGAGCCACCGTGGCATATGGCTCCTGGCGAGGAGGAAGAGGAAGAGGAGGAAGAGGAGGAGGAGGAGAGGGAAAAGGAGGAGGTAGAGAAGGAAGAGGAAGAGGAAGAAGAGGAGTTGCTGCCTGTGAATGGATCCCAAGAAGAAGCACAAACTCAGGTCCACAGCTTTTCTCCCACCAGCAGCAGCCAGATGCCTGGGGCTGCCAAACACAGGCATGAAGAATCTGGGGACCAGGCCTCCTCAGATGTGGAGGTGGGGAGCAGCATGGAGCCCAGCCTGTCACCACCTGCAGTCACCCCAAGTACAGTGACCCTGGGGGGTCAGGACTTCATCAGCCAGGAGGCAGGGGGCGCAATGCTGCAAGTCACAGGGCATGGGGTAGAGTTTGAGGCCCCTCAGGAAGTAAGCGAGGAGGCCACTGTGGGAGCAGTGGGGCTGGCTGGCAAGCAAGGGGAGGTGCCGTCCTTGGCGTCATTCCCTCAAACAGAAGCTCCCAGTGGGGCTGAGAGCCCAGATGAAGACCCCCTTTACTTTGGAGTCTCAGCCTCTTTCCCCCTGGCCCCCCGAGATGTGGAGCTGACACCTTCCTCTGCTACCTTGGGGCGAGAAGACCTGAGCCAGCAGCCCCAGGAAGGACAGGCTGCCGAAGCCCAGTCCAGAATACCCTGGGATTCTACTCAGGTAAAGTAACGGCACATGAAGGCCATCTGGCTGCAGCTTTCTCTAAGGAGCCTGGTCATCCCCTGGCTGCACAGTGGGGCTGAGAGGGTCTGCCAGGCTGAGGTGGGAGGCCCCTGTATAGCATGTAGAACCCCAGCAGAACTTTTGGGATGCACACCTCCTCGCCCTCCTTGGGTGTTCTCACCACACTTAACACGCAAAGCTCCTGGAAGAGCTTGGCTTCCCTGGCCTGGCCTTGTTCACAGCTACTGCTGCCACCTGGGGCCTTCCCACTGCCTGACCTGTGCCCCCACCCCCATCTCCACCCCCACCCCTGTACGTGCGTCGCCCTCTTCTCTCCTCCTCACACCTGCCCAGCACGCATGCCCAGGCCAGTGCTCATACCTGGGAAGGGACAGAAGGGAAGGGAGGCCCAAATTGCCAGCCCCTGCATCTGGCCTGCAGGCCTGTTTTTGTTTGACCTATGGAACATGAAACCCCTGCAGGGTTGCCACTGAAGGCCTGTGGCTGGGGCAAGCCCTGTCAGGCCCCTCCTCTCATTGAAGACATCATCTGTGTGGTCCCTGGAGACATCTGGGGATGCCACCCTGCAGAGGCTGTCAGCTCCCACCTAGCTGTCACGAACCTGCAACTGGCCTTCCCCTTCCGGCTTCTCAAAGGGTTTCCATCTGTGCTTTCTCTGGATGCCTTTCCTTGTGCCTTTGTGACTGTCGCCCTTCTTTTTGTTTCACTGTCCAGGTGATCTGCAAAGACTGGAGCAATCTGGCCGGGAAGAACTACATCATTCTGAACATGACGGAGAACGTAGACTGTGTGAGTGCTGAGCTAGGCGGGGACCATATGGAAGGATGGGAGTGGGTGGGCGGGCTGAGTGTGGGCAGAGGGAGCGCATGGGGCATGGGGAGGGGCTTAGCCTAACCTAGGGGAGGAGCCAGCCCCCACCCTTGTCTAAAACCCATGTTTAAATTCCTAAGGGCTCTTTTATTCTTGCCCCACTCTGTGTTTAATTTCAAGGAATAGTTTTGTTCACGTGTGCAATGTCTTATCTCCTGGAGGATATTGAAACAGTCTTTAAAAAAGTTGCTTTCCTTATTTGTTAGTTTTGGCCTTGGTTTTCTCACATGTCTTTGCTCCTCAGATGTCTGGTGGGTTCTTTCAGAGCTATTTAAGGAGGGCCATCAAAAAGCTGGTTGAAGCTTTGAGCTTGGAGTGGGGTTTGTTAACTGTGGCTTCTCAGGAGGGTGGACTGGCTGGGCCATTTGACAGTTTTTAATGTCAACATTTTTAGGTCCTTCCTCTTGGGCGACTAGATTCTTTGAAAAAGGAACGTCTGTCCTACTGGGAGCATAAAGGGCTGGTTGCCAGCGTTCTGGGAGCCAGGCTGGGGAGACGGCTGTTCACCTCAGTGTTAGAGAAGGCGTGCACGGATAAATTCATTTACTCCCTCTTGGAGTGTGAGCCCCCTCCCACAGTTGTGCCCCGTGTCCTCTGGGTCAGAGGGCCTCTATTTTACCCTCTTTGCAAAATCAATTTTCAGTCTTCTGCCAGGGGACAGGGACATTTGTCAGCTCTACAGTGCTGGGGAGAGGAATTAGGGATCCAGCTGCTTCTTAAACAGCCTTTCAAACAGTTTTCCTATTTTTAGAACCATTTTCATCGTCCCTTCCAAAGGTAACCAGTGCTGCTTATTTGAGAGCATTTTAGTTGGGAGTTTGACAATGTAAGTGTGATTGCTTCTCAGCTTGTCCCATTTTGGCTTAGGATTTGGCTCTTTGGGGCTTGCTAGATTAGGAAATCCTAACTCATCCATATGCCTCCAGTGCCCAGACTTTGTTGCTCTTGTTTCCTCTTCTGTTTTGTTTTGTTTTTGTCTTTGTGGTTTTAGACCTTGAAAAAATTCTTTACTTTCGTTTAGTGGATTTGGGGAAAAATGAAAGTACATGCGTGTGTTTCATTCAAAAGTGACCCAGGAGATTGTTTTCTTTTTTCCCATTATAAATAATAAAGAAGTGGATTTTTTTTAACATGATTGATACATTTTAATCTGTTGCAGTGATTTTTTATTCTTATTGATGCTTACATGCCCCATCTCTGGCCAGTGAGAGCCTCTTTGAGTTGGCTTCTAAGTTTTTTTGACCAACCTGTTAGTGTTTAATAGATTCCTTGCTTTCTGGTGTAATAAGGTGTTTGGGCTCATCTTATACTTTCCTTCCCCCACACATGAAATCATCATTTCTCCAAGCCCTCATTCCTTTTATTGGGAAATGATACTTGGAGACCACAGTATGGGTCCTTGAGACTCTTAAATTTTGTATATGCATATTTGAACAATAAAGTCTAAAGATAATGTCTGTCTTCTTTCCAAATAACACATACATATATAAAAATGCTTTCATTCTGCTTTCCCCCCCCTTTTTTTTTAAAGATTTTATTTATTTGACAGAGAGAGACACAGTGAGAGAGGGAACACAAGCAGGGGGAGAGGAGAAGCAGGCTTCCCGCTGAGCAGGGAGCCCGACTCGGGGCTCGATCCCAGGACTATGGGATCATGACCTGAGCGGAAGGCAGACGCTTAACAACTGAGCCACCCAGGCGCCCCACTGCTTTCCCTGTTTTTGTCTTGTTAGTTTTTCTCATTTACTATTTGACCTCTGCCTAATTAATCATTATTTTTTTCATGATGGATTTTTTTATCGTGGTAAAAATATCTAACAAAAATTGATCATTTTAACCATTTTTAAGGTATTACAGTGGTGTTGAGTATGTTAACATTGTTATGAAACATATCTCCAGAACTTTTCATCTTGCAAAACTACACTCTGTGACCATTAATCACTCTCCCAGGCCCCTAACCACCACCATCCTACTCTCTGTCTCTAGGAATTTGGCTTCTTTAAGTATGTCTTACAAGTGGAATCATACAGTATTTGTTCTTCTGTGACTGCCTTATTTCATTTAGTAGAATGTTCTCAAGGTCCATCCATGTTGCAGTGTGTGTCAGAATTTCTTCCTTTTTTAATTCTGAATAATATTCCATGGTATGTATAGACCACATTTTGTGTATCTGTTTGTCTGTCAATGGATATTTATGTAGCTTCCCCATCTTGGCTATTGTGAATAATGCTGCTATGAACGTGAGCCCACCAATATCTCTTTGAGACCCCATTTCAAAACCCGTACACACCCAGAAGTGGAATTGCTGGATCATATAGTACCTCTGTTTTTGATTTTTAAAGAAATCCGTATTGTTTTCTACAGTGACTACACCATTTCACATTCCCACCGGCAGTGGACAAAGGTTCCAGTTTCTCCACATCCTCACCAACACTTGTTTTCTATTTTGTGTGTGTGTTTTGTTTTTTAAAGATTTTATTTATTTGAGAGAGAGAGAGTATGGGTGGTGGGGTGGGGGGGCGGTGGTGGGGAAGGGAGAAGCAGGCTCCCCACTGAGCAGACCCTGGGATCATGATCTGAGCTGAAGGCGGCTGCTTAACTGACTCAGCCACCCAGGCACCCATTTTCGTTTTTTTTTAAATAGTGGTCATCCTAATGGGTATGAGGCAGAATCTCATTAGGGGTTTGATTTTCATTTCTCTGATGATTAGTGATGTTGAGCATTAGTCATTATTATTAACAGTCAGTGCTTATTTTGCTTTATCAATATATTTGTTTCTTTGCTTACACGTCTTTTCACATCCCCATTCCTTTCTTGTGAATTTAATTGCCTTCTTCCTGAAATATACCCCTTAGCAGCTCTTTCTATAAGGATATATCTATATCAGCCCTTATTAGTGTAAAGAATGTCTTTAATTTTCTCATGTTCTTTTTTTTGTAGCTTTTTATTTTGATATAATTTCAGAAGACTGCTACAAAGAAATCCTGTGTATATTTCAGCCAGAATCACCAGCTCTTAGCATTTTCCAAACCATCTGAGAGTAAGTTGAGACACATTTGAGATATAGTTAGGTTTTTTTTGTTTCTGTTTGTATTCAGTTTTGGATTTTTTCCCCCTCATCCTTGTTGATTTAGTTGTATTTTTGAGCATGTAAAACATTAATATGGTTCTAAATATCTAAATGACACAAAAATGTATGCTTAAAGAAATACTCCTCTCCCCCATCACCTCTTGCCCTCCATTCCCACCCACTCCCTCTAGGTAACCAGTCTCATTAGTTTCTGATTATCCTTCTGGGTTTCTTTTTATAGAAATAAGCAGATAGATATATAATTTTTTGCAGGAAGTGTAGCATATTATTTATATTTTTATCACTTTGCTAGGGCTGTCATAACAAAGTACCACACTGGGTAGCTTAAAAACAAATTTATTCCCTCACTGTTTTGAAGACTGGAAGTCCAAGATCAAGGTGTCAGGAGGATTAGTTTCTCCTGAAGCCTCTCTCCTTGGTTTGCAGATGGCCATCTTCTCTCTGTGTTTTCACATCATTGTCCCTCTGTGCTTGACTGTGTCCTTCATCTCCTCCTCTTGTAAGGACCTCATCAGATTGGATAGGGTCACCCTAACAACCTCATTTTAGCTCAATCACCTCTTGAAAGACCCTGTCTCCAAATACAGTCACAGTCTGAGATACTGGGGGTTAGACTTCAACATATGAATTATTGGGGGGACACATACTCAGTCCATAACATTATTCTTTTGTATTTTGCTTTTCTTGCTTAACAGTATATGCTGGAAATCACTTTATGTTAGTGCATGGAGATTATTCTCAATCATTTTGTGTATGTATTATAGATTATTTATTAAATTTCCTTTGTGTGGGCATTTGGGTGGTTTCCAGTATTCTGCAGTTACTTACAAGGCTGCATCAAATAACCTTGTGCGTATGTACTTTCGTGCTGTTGGGATGTATCTTCAGAGTAAATTCCTGGAAGTGGGATTGCATATGCAGTTTGTTAGATATTACCAATTTCCCATTTCTCTCTCATTCTCATTAGAAGTTTATTGGGCCTTATTTTTCTATCTGTGATGTCTCTTAAAACACTTTTATGCTTTCTCTTTTTAAAATTTCTCTGATGAGGGGTGCCTGGGTGGCTCAGTCGGTTGAGCATCCAACTCTTGGTTTCAGCTCTTTGGGGTCCTGGGATTGAGCCCCACATGGGGCTCCATGCTCAGCAGGGAGTCTGCTTGAGGATTCTCTCTCTCCCTCTACCCCTTCCCCTGCTCATGTTTTCTCTCTCCAAAATATAAATAAATAAATAAATCTCTCTGATGCATTCTGAGTGATTTCCTAGCTTTAGCTTCCAAATTAATAACTCTCTTCAGCAGTGTCTAATCTTTTGTTTGATCCATCCATTGAATCTTTAGTATAGATAACTGTTTTATATTTTTAGAATTTCTCCTTGGTTCCAAATCCCTCCCTTTATTCTTCATTTTGTTCCCTTCTTTCATTATGGTTTCTATTCTTTCATTTTCTGAATTATTTTAAGTATATTGATTTCATGATCTCTCACCTTTTGTTTTAGTAACGACATCCTGGGATGTCAGGTCTCCTGTTGGTGGCTTTGTACCTTGTTTCCTTGTATGGATCATTCTTCATTATTGTGATCTCCTCTTCAACCCCGGGTTGTAAAAGAGTTCCAACAGAGTGGTTTCAGGGAAACTTTGGGAGTTCCAGGAGTCCTAGGTCAGCTTTCATCTTAATCTCTTGGCTTGAATTTTTATATCATGAAGGACTGCCATTTGGACTCCAAACCCAGGTGAAGCACAAGTGATCTTGGATAGTCTTTTTCTCCTACCCATGGACCCCGGCAGATGGCAGAGCCCATTACAGCTCCTCCAGGAGATCAGGAATGTTTTTGAGTCCCCATTTCACTGAAAGGGCTGCTCTTTGGGGCTTCAGGCTCCATCCTGGTACTCTGCTCTAATTCTTCATCTCACGTGGGCCAAGAGCATGTAAGCATTTAAAGCCAAGTCTCCAGCTCCTGGGTTCCATTTCTAGGCCCTGGACCCCCACGAATTGCTGCAGCTTTAGCACCTGCTCACTCTTCTGGCTTTGAGTTCCTCTGTTTCTGCCTATATTTTTTCCCCAAGCGTTGCTCTGTGTTTGTAGCAAGGTGGACGAGCAGGACTTTCATCAGCTCTATCTGCTGTATTGCCACAAGTCAAAATGATGGGCTCGGTCATATGTCCCTTCCTGTTTACCATAAGGACCATTCCAGACACTTGGAGGAGTTGCATATAACTTCAGCGTTGGAAATGGGTGCTTGGACAGTAGCAGGAGAACTGGAGCCCCGACTGTGGGAGAAATGGTGTGATGTGAGGGAAGGACCATCCACCCAGGAGTCAGCAGGGAAGATAGCATTGCACTTAAGAAAAGTTCTAATGACTTACAGTATACATCCAGAAAAGCACACAGATCATAAGTGTGCAGCTGGATGGATCATCACAAAAGGACGTAATCAGCCCCCAAATCAAGACACGGAACATGATCAGCACCGCCAAAAGCCCTTCTCATTCTCCTTTCCAGACACTGTTCCCTCATGGGAAACCATTTTCTTGATTTGTAACCCCATACATTGATTTTGCATGCTTTTGAACTTTATATAATCATTTAGTAGATAGTACTTTGTGTCTGGCTGTTTGCCCTCAATGTTCTGTTTTTGAGATTCATCTAGATGGCTGCACGTAGTGAAGTTTGTTCATTGCGCTTCTGTCTAGTATTCCACTTATGTATCCACTCTAATGTTGCTGGGCCTTGGAGTAGTTCCCTTCTTCAGGGGGGGAAACTGAGGCTCAGAGAGGTGCAGTATTGTGCTAAAGGTCGCAGAGCTGATGAATGGCAGAACTGGAATTTGAACCCAGATTTATTTGATTCCAAATTCAGGGCTTTCTCCCCAGGCCACTGACACTCAGTTCCCATCTACAGAATAAATGGCATGAAATATGTAGTCATCAGATGCTGCCAGAGTGGACATTGTGGGTCTGTGGGCTTAAGCCGGGCAGACATCTTGACCCATAGAATGTGGGGTCTGCACACATGGGGGATCATAGGCCTGTGGCATGGGGGGAGGCATTGCCTGTGGGGGGAATGTGCTTCTTTTGTAAGCAGGGAGGCTGCTGGGTACAGTGCCTGTTGCTCAGGCAGATGCAGGTTACACACCCCAGCCCTACACATGCACACACGTGCACATGAAGACGGTAAGAACTATTTTGGGAATAGGGCTTTCCTAGCTGCGCGTGGCTATCTCCAGGTACCGGTTTTCTCCCAAATTCAGAACCGAGTTGGCTTTCTGTTCAGCCAGTGAATGCCAAGGCTCGAGCTTGCACCTGACACTTGCCATAGTATCAAGGAACTTGAACCCCCTTGGTGGCCTTCAGGTTGGGATGATGACCAGGAAGCCTCGCTAGCTTGGGCTCTACCAGAAAGGAGATAGGAATGTCAGGGCCCCACATGGTCTGATGAGATGCCTGGGCCCTGCAGGCAGCCCTGACTCAAAGCTCTAAGGCAGGGCACTCAAGAGAAAGTGCAACAGCTGGGATAGGTGCGTTGCTGGAAGATTTGGAGACCAGGAACAGGGGTCAGTGATTTCCTGGTTGCAGAAGGGAGAAGGCTGCTGGAGAGGAGCCTGGGGGTGGAGAGCAGCCGCAGGGCCAGTCCCTGATGGGACTAGGTTGGTAGCCTGCCTGGGTTTCTGCCACTCACTGAGTTCCTGGCCAGTACCTGCCTCTTGTTCTTGTTTTTTTAAATTACATAATCATAATACACAAGGTCGGGAAAATCTAAACAGTACAAGAGAGTGTCAGATGAGAACAAAATCTGCTTATATCCCTCCTCCTGCCCCGGCCCTGCTTCCAGGGGTTACCATTTTAACCATATCTGTTTTAGTTCCTCCGGTCACCAGTGCCACCATAAAAGTACTCAGATAGCTTTCTTGACTCCCCAACTTTGGGCAGTATCTGTGCAATGACAGCCAAGAGGTGAGCATGTTACTGCTCCCCACCTCCGCTCCTGGGTTTGGTGTGCACCTTTGGTCTGTTGCACGCCTGGCCTCCCAGTATATTCATCCCTTGCACTGGACACTTGAATACTCAGGCCCGGCCAGCAGACTTCCGTAGGCCTTCACACACTGCACACCCACTTCCCAGACTTGTTGCACGTGAGTGTATCTGTCCCCAAGCTCAACAGTGAGTATCCCCAGGCAGGCCCCACACCCTCCTCATGTGAGAGGCCCAGGCAGGAAGGAGCACCTGGATGCCCAGTGGACATGTGTCTTGGTGTTCCCACAGTTCCGCCCAAAGGCCAAGCTCAGAGTCTCTCGATGGTCTCCAGAGCTACGAGAGCAGTCCCCTCTGGAATAGCCGGATGGCCTTTCCCAGTGTTTGACTACTGGGAGGTTGGAGGTTGGAGGTTGGAGCGGGGGCTAGACCTGGAGGCAGGGAGTCAGTAGAGCCCTCTCCCTCACTGGCTTGGGGGCTCTCTTTCCGTCCTTGTAGGAGGTGTTCCGGCAGCACCGAGGGCTGCAGCTTCTGGCCCTGGTGGAGGAGGTGCTGCCCCGCCATGGCAGTGGCCATCATGGGGACTGGCACATCTCCCTGAGCAAGCCCAGCGAGAAGGAGCAGCACCTTCTAATGACCTTGGTGGGCGAGCAGGGTGAGCGGGGGCAGCACATGGAAGGGGGGCCCAGGGAGGCAGTGTTAAACCAGCACCGTTTCCCGAGGGCCATGAGAGGTCTGCAGAACCACAGGAAAGCACACAGACAGGGCTTTGACCTTGGACCCTAGGATAGCAGGAAGAGGTAGTGGTTGGGCCCGTAGTGTAGGGTTCAACTGGAGTTGAACTGAAGTTCTGGAGAAGAGGAGGAGGGTGTAAATGTCGGGACCAGGAGGGGAAGAGGTGTGGTTTCAGCACCAGAGGAGACAATGAGTCCTGCACACTGACTGGTGGGGTGCGGAGGGGGCGAGTTCAGAAACGCAGCAGTGTGGGGCTTTGGGGTGACCGCCCGGTGTCCCATGTGTCAGATGGCAGGCATTCACTCATTAGTTTGCAATGAGGCCGCATAGGAGAAAGGGGGAGTGCACACACCATGGGGTCTGCATGTGGTCAGGAGGGGGAAAGCAAGCCTCTGGAAGCTCAGGCCAGAGGCTCTCCCAGGGAGCTGGGGGCGCCCCAATGGCCAAGGCTGTGCTGATGATGGTGTCTCCCCCCAGGGGTGGTGCCCACTCAAGATGTCCTTTCCATGCTGGGTGACATCCGAAGGAATCTGGTGGAGGTAAGAAGGCAGGGAGCTCTGGGAGCAGGGCTGCCTTCCCTGAGGGTAGGAGACTGCACGGTGGTGCAAAGGAGCAGAAGACAGAATCTTGCTCTGCACAGCTCCTCCTTTCAGTCCTCCTAAGACACAGTTCCCGTGGGAGAGACAGAGTGCACGAATGCATAGGAATGTATATATGCACCACCGCACAGTTTGCGAAAGGGCCCGGAGGGGGTGGTGGTCAGGATAGGACTCAGAGGGAGGGGGACCTCCGAGGTCCCTTGGGGGCCTGATGGGTAAGTGGGAGTCTTGTGGGTAGGTGGGAATTGCCCTAGGAATTGGGCAGAGGCCTGGTGGGGTGGGAGAGCGTGATGCAGTTTCAGAAACCACAAGAGAAAGCACGACAGGCATGGGCATGCTCTGGAAGCCATCAACCAGGCACCATCTGGCGGGATGGGGCTCGGGCTCAGGGGAGGGCCCTGCCATCTCGAGGGGCACCTGTGACTCAGTGCAGTTGGCCAGCTGCATGGCAGGTCCTGGAGACATGGGCTGAGGAGCAGGCTGGCCAACCTGTCCTCCTGCACAGCCAGCCACCCCTGTGTAAGGCTGAGCAGAGCCGGGGCCTGGGAGGGGAAGGCCCCCCCTCGGTCCTCCTCCTTGGTCCTCCTGCTCCTTGTTTTACTTTCTCTGCAAGGGAGGACCTTGGGTTCCTCACCTCCTTTCTTCAGGACAGCCACCATGCCAGCTCCTCACTGTGAAACCCAGTGACCTGGTATCAGTCCTCTCCCTTCTCCAAGGCTCTGCAGTGTTTCACAGCTGGGAAAGATGAGCTGTGCGTGACCGTGCACCCCACCTCCTTATCTATTACGCGCAAGGCGGAAAGGTGGTTGTGCTGGTGGTTTGGGGTTTTTTTGATAAGCACACTGAATGCTTACTAAGTGCCAGACTGCGCTGGGTTCTCTCACTCAGCCCTCAGTGCCAGCCCGGGCCTTGTGAGGATTAAATAAGGTACCCGGTTGAGTACCATTGGTGCCCTATTTAAGATGAGAGCTGTAGCCCAGAGAAGGGAAGTGATTCACCCAAGAACGCACAGCCAGGAAGCAACAGAGCCAGGCTTTGGACCAGGCCTGAATGATTTAAGAGCCCAGGCCTTTAAGCATGATGCTGGCCTTACTACCTGGATGGCTACTAAGGGCCTTTCCAGTTGTGAAATTCTGGGTTCATGAACACGGGATGGTGGCGGGGGGGCAGGTGGAAACTTGGGCTGGCCTTCATCTTTTTCCCACAGAAACTTCCTGCCTCTTCCGGCCCCTGGGTGTTCTAGCTTTGCTGGACACTATTCAGACTGACCTGGTCTGGCAAATTTAGCAATTTCATTGGTGGGTGAACCTAGCAAGAGAAACTGATCTTTGGTAACTAAAAAGTCAATAGAGAAAAGTACTGGAAATAGACAGGTTGTTCATAGACACCCAAGAAGAGATGAAACCTGGCCTCAGGGGAGTCCAAGGCAGAAAGGGAGGCTCCCAGGTCTCTGCACTGGGAGCTAGTAGACAGCACCCTCACCCTGGCACCTGTCATCTGATGAGGATGGCACCTCCCCTTCCCTGCTCTCTGCTTGAGATGCTGATTTGTGGAGAGAGCACCTGCCTGGCCCAGTATGGGCACAGCAGCCTCTAGGCTTGAGAAGACCAGCCCACTCAAGACAGCTTGCACTGTGGCAGGGGTACCAGCCAGCCAAATGCCATTGGTGACCACCCACTCTTATGGGAAAAGGGCTGGTGGTGGCCCAGGATGTGGGCTGTCCCCAGCATCCTGTATAGCCCACAATGGTCAGAACGATGCCAGATCACCTCCACGCCCAAGGTGGAAGCTGTGTTCCAGGGACCTGAATCAATAGTGGAGCCAGACTTCTGCCCCAGCAGGGACACGGTCAGGGCAGAGCCATGGGGGGATGTGAGCAGAGGCTGAGAATGGAGGCATGGGATCGAGAGGCTTGGGGCTGCCCTCTGGTGAACGGATAGGGATTGGGCAGAGACAGGGATAGAGCCCCAGGTGAGCACAGGTCCAGGCCTCTAAGAGAGTGTAGTCAGGAGTATGCCAGCTCTTCTCAAAGCCTGTCCCCTGTCCCTGAGCCCCAACCCCACAGCCCCACAGGGAGCCCTGACACCCAGGACCTCAGCTGAGGAAACTGGCCCCTCCCACCCCCAGATTGGCATCCAGAACTACTCCACTACAAGCAGCTGCCAGGCACGGGCCAGCCAGGTGCGCAGCGACTATGGGACGCTCTTTGTGGTGCTGGTGGTCATCGGGGCCATCTGTGTCATCATCATCGTGCTGGGCCTGCTCTATAACTGCTGGCAGCGCCGGCTGCCCAAGCTCAAACACGTGGTGAGCATGGGGGCACGTCTGCAGGAGGGCTTGAGCTGGGGCTGGTGCCTGTGGAGGACAGAGTACCCAGCAGGGAGACTCACTGTCCTCACTGCAGGTGGGGTGGCATTAATGGTCCTGGGATGAGGGGGTCTGTGCCTGAAGCTGCTTGTCCCGAGCCTAGCCCCCAGTTTGTCCCTCCTGTCTGCAGGGCACCAGCCCCATCATAGGTGCTAGAGGTGCAGTGGGGGGCTGTGGGGAGAGATCAGATGATGTCAGGGAAGCCACTGGTTGTTTAGTGCAAAGGATCATCAGGAGTTTGGTTATGGGAACAGAAGGGAATGGGCATCTGTCGAGGGTCCGCTGGGGGTTCCCTGTGTAGGATTTCACAGACCAGGGAAGGAACAGTGAATGGTTCCGGTGCCGTGAGCCCGGAGCTGTTCGGGCAGGTGGGGGCCTGGGCCGGGGCACTCGCCCAGCGGCCCTCTCCCACCGCCGCAGTCACACGGCGAGGAGCTGCGCTTCGTAGAGAACGGCTGCCACGACAACCCCACGCTGGACGTGGCCAGCGACAGCCAGTCGGAGATGCAGGAGAAGCAGCCCAGCCTGAATGGCGGCGGGGCCGTCAACGGCCCGGGGGGCTGGAGCGCGCTCATGGGGGGCAAGCGGGACCCCGAGGACTCGGACGTGTTCGAGGAGGACACGCACCTGTGAGGGCGCCCGCCCGCCGGCAGCTCTGGTCCGCTGTGACCCCGCGACCGTGCCCTCGCCCCGTTGGGGCTGCGCCGGGACGAGCGGGGCGGACCCGGAGCGGACAGCCGCGCCTCCCCTCCCCTCCCGGCCTCGGCCGCTCTCCCGCAGCCCCGCCCTCGGTGAGGGGTCTTCCCGCTTCCCACCGACTCACGGAACAGTCTCGGCACAGCCCTCCCCATTTCCACCTGACGCCCCGAGGGGCTTGTCCCGGAACTGCCCCGCTTCCCCGGCCGCGCCCCGGGACCCCCATTAAAGCCGCCCGGAGACCACGCCGGGCCCAGCTC